CAGAGTTGAGTCTGAAAGAGTTCACTTCTCATCGTTGACCGTATTTTAAGAAAGAGATTTGGACATTGGGTGATTCATAATATCACCCCCAAGATACAGATCAGGGACAGATTTGAGGAAGAAGAGATTCAGGATGAAGGAAGAAAATCTCATTTAAGTTAAGTGAAGGGCTAGGAAAAAAAAAAGGAAAAACTCTCCAAAGACACAGGGAACCCACCCACTCACCACCACCCTCACACTCCATAACCTTATCCTCCAAATAATACCCTACACTGTCTGAAATTCCACCTAAAAGAAGTACAGATAACTAACAAGATAGTAGTCCTCGATCGACACACAAAAATTAAAGCTACCCTCTTAGAATATACACCAAAACCCAATGAAGGTCACCATATTGTGATCTCATGGAGACATAATTGAATTGCACCGAATTCTCTCTAATAAAATAATATATTAATAGTAACTAAAAGAGCATCTGCATGGTAGCTATAAAGACAGGTCAGTCTGGCATTCTGACTCTAATATCTGGGAAGAAAATGTACCAGTCCACAAATTTGGAGTATCAGATATATGAAGCCATAAAGTCTTAAAACAGGGACAGATGCATTAAAGTGTCATAGTCTGATGATATCACTCATTAAGATTATCTAACTAATTCCTCTTGGTTGTAATTCTAAACTCTAATTATAAAGTATCTTCCTATGTATATTGAGGAGCAATATTTTTCAACTTCTCTCCAACATAACTAAAGAGTTCAATACACTCCAATGCTAACAGTGATTCACTAGTGCAGTGATTTTTAACTAGGAGGCATTCCATGCAAATGAAACCCCAGGAGACCTTTTTTTTTTTTTTTTTAGTAAAGCAAAAAGAAAGTTTTATTTGGCATATATTCAAAAGGCAGAAGTCGGAAGCGGACAACCATGCTGCTAGAGCTCCGTCTGCCCAAGTCCAGAGAACATTACACAATAGGCAAGAATGGGAAAACAGACAAGCATGCTGCCACAGCCATATCTGCCTGAGTCCAAAGAGCAGTTACAGAGCCATCAGTGTATATTAACATTACAAATGGGAAAAACCATTGAAAGCTTAGCCTTTTCAGATTGGCTAGAAACTTGTGATCCTACATTTTGAATTGTATTTCTTAACAATCATTGGTACAGGTTCCAGTAATGACAGTCAGGAGGGTCTTCACTGGTCCAACAAATTTCTATTCACTAAATGCTAATAGAAAAAGATAAGAGTGGAAAGTCTTTTGTGTTCTGTTTGATTGCCCTTTTGTGAAAACTTCCTTACGATAATTTCTGAGATTGTCCCATCTATTGTCTATCTCAGGGCCCAGCTGATGTGTCTTTGTGAGTCTGTGAGGGCCCAGCCCAGCTGGGTCATATTTCTCCATGCTCAGGGTCAGGGAATAATGATTCCAAATATTATTTTCTAAATCAACCCCTCATTGTGATCAAAGATTGGAGATAACACATCGATGATCAGTACCTGGACTTAGTGGAGCTCCTAGATGGCAGCCATTGCAGGCTCTTTAAACTCACAGTGCTGGTTTTCCACCGGATACCACCTGGCTCTTCACCAGGATCTTAAGTAAGAGCGATGTTCTCAGCAATCACATTGCCGGAGTGAGCAGACTCAATCTACATCAACATTTTGGCCCCAGGGGACTTTTTGTTATTTAAAAAAGCACCTCAAACACTTGAGATTCTTAATGTGTTTCCTTCCACTGGTTAAGAATTATGAGACTACACAGGAAGAATGGATTGGTCAGTATTCAGTGAATATGATGATTACATTTCTAGTATTAAAATTTCTGGCATTTTGATTTTTATGTATGAGCTTCTGTGCCCTTAGTTAATGTGAGGTATTCTAAGAGGAAGAGACATTTAATGTACCAACAAACCAGTTATCCATATTTAATAAGACGAGCCTATGAACTAAAGTTATAATGGACCTTAAATTGAGGTCACCTCGTCTGATCTAGTCAAACACTCTCCCAGCAAAAGAATGTATTTCTGACATTGGTTTAATCATGTTCCTTTCTACTTAACACCTGAAAATAACTGCATTGACAGTTGACCCCAGAAATGAGAGGAAAGAGAGGAATTTTTAGAATAGGTCTCTCATTTTAAAAGGTAAGCAAACATGGATAGGACACTTCAGGAAAAGGCTTCAAAAATCCAGGGGGAAAAAAATAACCCAAAGGAAAATGCGCAAAAGAGCCTTAACAGGCACTTCACAAAAGACATCTAAACAGCCAATAAACATATGAAAAGGAGTGCAATCTCATTCACAACAGAGAAATACAAATTAGAAGCATAAAAGACATTAAACACCTAGCAGAATGGCAAAAATTAGAAAGACAATACTAAATGGGCCAATGACAGTTTGAGTACACTGTGGGGACTGTACCTGGTAAAACAGTTAAGCATTATATGCATACCACAAAAACCAGTAATTTTACTTCCTATTCCTAGAGAAACTCTTGCACATGTGTACTATGATTCATAGCAGTATTGTTTATAACAGCAAACAACTGGGAACCACTCAAAAAATCAGTCAAAAGTATAAAATGGACAGTGATATATGAATACAATGGAATACTACATGGCAATGAAAATGAGCAAGCAATAGCTGCATACAATGTGGATAAATTTCATACACTAAGTGAAAGAAGAGGAATAAGAATGCAAATAGTATGTTTTCATTAATATTACATACAAAAATAGACAAAACTAATTTTATTGCTTAGGGATATGCACGTGTGTGGTAAAATTATTTTTAAAAAGCAGGAAAATTATTATCACAGGAGTTGTGTGACTGATTAACCTTAGAGGAATAATTACCCTAGGGAAGGAGATTCTGTGATCAGAGGACAAACAGGGGACTTCTGGAATGCTGGTAATATTCTATTTCTTGACCTGGATGATAGTTATAAAAATGTTCACTTTAAAATTATTCTTCAAACTCTACATATACTTTTCTAGAGGTATATTATATGTAAATTTAAAATGTTGAAGGAAAGAAGCAAATTAATAAATCTACCCACTTTAAAATTCTACTTAAGGCTTACCCTGCCTTCTCCAAAAAATCAGATGTAAAACATCAATTTCGTAGGAAAATGAGGTCCAAATGGGAAGGAAGTCCCTTCAAGATTTAGTCCTGGAGATTACAAGGGCTTGAGTATACTAAACTGGGTCCCAGGACTAAAGTTAACTATGATTGGCAAATAGTTGTATGTGAAAATATTTTTGGTTATTCAAAACCAAATATCCTCAAAGATTACAGAATATCATGCTAGTGACTGCTCCTTGTATATGTGATTTACATCTTAAATACTCAATTATTGTTCCCAAATGTCATGATTAAATTGTGTCCCCAAAAAATATGTGCCAATTTGAGTAGGCCATGATTCCCAGTATTGTGTGGTTGTCCTCCATTTTGTGATGTGATTATCCTCCATTTTGTGATGTGTTGTAAATGCTAGCCTCTATGCCTGTGGTTATGGTCCCATTTGGGAGTGAGCTGTCCCTTCTGTTAATGAGGCAGGATTAGGTCATGTTCATGAGGATTAAGTTATGTTTGTTCTGTTAATGAGGTAGGGTGGGAGGTATCTTGAGTCATCACCCTACAAGAGATAAAAGCAGAGAGAAGCTAGCTGAGAGAGAAGGACCTGACTACCACCAAGAAAGAAAAGCCAGAGAGGACTGCATCCTTTGAACCAGGGGCCCCTGTGCTGAGAACCTCCTAGGCCCCAGGGGAAGACTGAGGCCAAGACACAGGTAGATCTCCAAGGAACACCAGGTTCACAGATGTTGAAAGGAGACAAGGACCTTCCCTCAGAGCCAACAGACAGAGAAAGCCTTCCCTTAGAGATGGCATCCTGAATTCAGACTTGTAGCCTCCTAAACTGTGAGAGAATAAATTTGTTTGTTAAAGCCATCTACTTGTGGCATTTCTCTTATAGCAGCAGTAGATAACTAAGACACCAGCCTTCCTTCATACCAACAACTAAGCAATAAAAACAGACATTTTTTTCAATCCTCAGCTCTAACAATGGAAGTTTTTAGCACACATTTCTATTTTTAATTCAGGTTTGTCTTTACTGCTTTCTTTCAATTCTCATTTCTCCAGAAATTAAAATCTTAGGTGAAATATAAATCAATGAACTCAAACTCACTCTGTTTTTCTCTTTCTCTTTCTCTCTTACACACCCAACGAATCAAAGATTTTGCTATAAAATAAAATTTAACTGCTATCCCTTTTCTTTCTTATTTGCAATGTAGAATGGAAAAGTGCTAGGAAATTAAAACTTGCTGTACTCAGGGTGAAAGTCTTACAAGAATGAAATTACAAAGAAATGAGAGATAAATGGTTTTCTCTAAGACAAAAAGATTGAAAGGTAAACGAATGAAATTCAGTTACCTTTTTTTTCTTGTTTGTAAAAAGTCACTCAAGGAATCTTAATTACAATTAGATTTTTTAAAAATTTTTTGATATTTTAAAACTTTTTAAACTCATTAACTTTATTGGATAAACTGTACTAATCTTAAGTGTATGTAGTTCATTGAACATCTACATACATACACACACACACACACACACACATACATACACATGGAGGCCTGGTGACACAGTGGTTAAAGCGCTGGGCTGCTAATCAAAAGGTTGGTGGTTTGAACCCACCAGCAGAAGGAAGATGTGGCAGTCTGCTTCCGTACAAATTCCAGCCTTGGAAACTACATGGGGTAGTTCTACTCTGTCCTATAGGGCCACTATAGTCAGAATCGACTCGACAGCAGTGGGTTTGGTTTTGGGTTATATATATACACACATACAATCCACTCATGTAACTACCACCCAGATGACTTAAAGCTAGATTTGAAAATCGTACTGGAAAAAAACAAAACAAGAAAAAGGCCAAGAGATTAAATATTACTGATCCTCTAAACTAAAAGATTTTCAGTTTATTTGGTTAAATTTTATTTTCATACCTCAAATTCATTTTGTGTACTTTGAACATTGCACCATCTGGCAACAGGTTCAGGAACCACTTCCCAATCTTCACAGACTTGTTTAAGGATATTCACAAACGTTGACTTCCCTGCAGCTGTTATGAGAGTAAAGGTAAAATTACAGAAGGAAACTTGGCAGAAAAAAAGGCCAGAATCATGACTGGCTTTTACAAAATTTATTACAGAAATCTTAACTCACCAAAAAAAAAAATATTCAATTTCCTGAATTTTTCTCTAGATTTTTTTTTAAATGAAAACGGAAAAGGTCTCTGCCCAACTGTGTTAAGTACATTTGTTTGTTATTGTTTTACAGGTTAGCAATGCTGTAGGAGAGAAGAATTTAAAACCTGGGAAATTTTTAGGCAAGATGTTATGGCAGAAAAAAATCCTAGTCCTAGATTCACTTTCTTTAGCCAACCAATTACAGGTAACTTTGTGGGAAGTGGTTAAGGCTACTCTACCACTTATTAGATGTGGGATTTGGGGCAAGTTACTTAATCTTTCTGAGGCTATTTCTTCATAACACAAAGGAGTACCCTCCTCATGGAAACTGTTGTGAAGGTTAAACGTGATAAACAAGTAAACTATCATTACAGAGAGTCATTCCAGGCTCTTGCATTTTCAAAATTTTCCTCTTTACTGGCTCCATCCACTCAGTCTACCAACAAGCTCAGGTCTCTTTTTAAGAAACAGCCAAATAAATGATAAAATCACCATGAAGATGTATTCAATGCTTAGAGTTTCAGAATGAGAAAGACTGTTGTTACTGTTGTTATTATTATTATTATTACATAAGTGCTTGAGCTTATGGTCGACTACTAGCCTAAAGGTTGGCAGTTTGAACTCACCCAGACGCTCCTAAAAGAAAGGCCAGCAATCTGATTCCAAAAGGTCACAGCCATGAAAACCCTATGGAACACAGTTCTACTTTGCAATACATGGGGTCACCATGAGCCGACTCGACAGCAACTGGTTCGTTAACAGAAACTATAGAAACATTTTTTGCAAAGCACTTCCTACAAGCAACACCAGTTTCTCTGCTTCATTTTCAGTCACTGTGCACTCTATTCAACCCTAAAAAAAAGACAAACAAACAACATACATACTTCACTTCTCCCTGATTATTCAACAATTTCTGAGATATCTATAGGGAAAAAAAGAAAACAGTTCATATTATGTTCACTGTTCTAAAGTTACCTAGGAATACATTATATTTAATAGTAAGAGCAGTATTGAACTAGAATCCAATAGGATGCAGCAATTATTTCTAATGACTACCACACCCTTTCCATCTGAAGTCACCAAATGTGGTTATATTAGACATCACTACTGATCAGCATAAAGTCTGTTCTCTAAGTAAATGAACATATGAATAAACAACTTTGGTACATTTATAAGCCAAGTCTCCTCTTCCTTATAAACTGGAACCAAAACCAAACCCATTCCCATAGAGTCGATTCCAACTCATAGCAACCCTACAGGACAGAGTAGAACTGTCCCATAGAGTTTCCAAGGCTGTAAATCTTTATGGAAACAGACTGACACATCTTTCTCCCATGGAATGGCTGGTGAGTTCGAACCACCGATCTTTCGATTAGTAGCCGAGCCCTTAACCACTGCACCACCAGGGCTCCTTACCTGGAACCAAAAACGGTAAAAAGAGCTTACCTTCAACTTGTAGAACTATACAAAAACCTATGATCTTATATAAGGTAACACAAAAGAAGAAAAAACTGGAAGAACGTTAAAGGATCACAACAGAGAAAGAAAAGTATGGGTAAATAGAAAGGTGACAACAGAGAGAACAGCTGAGAAGCAAAGTACAAAAGTTATTATCTCCAGAGGAAAGGAGAAAAACTTTCAAGGCAAAACTGGATGATTATTAGATTTAATTATGGTAAAGACACTTGTGACCTCAGATTTACATGCAGCAGGTAAGCATGTAGAAGGACTGTATGGCATTTAGAAGAGTAAGTGCAAACATTTAAAATGACCACCAATCACTAAGCTAGATGGAAGAGGGAAAGGAGAGTTTGGTATTCAGAAAGAGAACCCAAGGGAAATATTAAAAAATCAGGCATCAGCAGGAGTCTGAAAGCCTTTTGCTTTTTCTTCTAATACTGCTTACAAGCACAAATTTCAAAATACAGTAAAACCTGTGAAAGCCAGAACTGTGCAAGGCAGAAACTGTCAGAGAAGGAAAACCTAAACATTTTCCACTAATAGAGAGCAACAGAAAAGTAAGACTATACTCCACCAAAGGCAGAAAACTTTCAAGACATGGAAAAACAAGGCAGTCCTGGTGAGTTCTGGCCCTCACAGGTGTCCCTGTAATAATTGTTATATATAGTTCAAGCAGAGTAACAACAGTTACGTTTAGTACCCAATGAGACTAACTAATATCTAGGTCCTTAATTTGGAGGATGGGGGTACGAGCGTAGAAAATAGGCTAATGAATAAGTTAATGCTCTATGAATGCAAACGGGACCAGAACCAAGGACACTGCAGTTAACAATTTAAATAGCCAAAGAAACTAACAGTTCCTAATGCCAAATACGCATTACAATGCCAAAAGTCATTCTGTACAGACTATTAAGATCGGAAAAAGGAGATAAGGCCTCCATAAATCTAACGTAAGAGACTATTTTAGTAATAGAGAACATGAGAAGAAGGGTTCCATATGTATCAAACTTACAGTTCAAATATTCTAGAAAGAACAGAGAAACTGAAAAATAGTCTTCTACATTCAGATTCACATTTACAGCTTACTTGTGTTGGGCAAATAAGATGGAGGGACAAGATGAAAATGTTAGGTTCTAGCCCACAAGATGATGGGTCTGGCATATAGAAGGTCATGGAAACAAGCAACTATAATACAATGTATGAGAGAACAGATAAGAAAAGTGAAGTTTAAAGGATGAGTTTTGTCAAGCAAATAAGTCAATCTAAAGAAACCACATGAAGGAGTATGGCATATCCTAGGCATGTAAAAATGTTTACAGTTAAGGTAGTAGAGGGAAGCAAGGACCAAAGAGACCAAGGATCTTAAATGGTCTTGTATACCATGCTAATTAAATCCTTAGCCATTAAGCCAGCGGTCTCAAATGCAAATGTCATCATGGGCCAGAAGGGAAAGTAAATGATCAAAACAGCTGGGCATATTTCTTTCCTATTAATTTTATAATCAAAACAACAGTGCAAGAGCAATAACAAACAGCAACTGATAAAGCCTCAGTGTCAGGAAGTCAATAAGTGGTAAGGAACACGCCCCATCTAAATATGAATTGTTGCCATATAGAAATGCAGGTCCAGTGTTACCAGATCTTCAGATTTTTCAAGAAAAGCCAAGAATCTAGATGTTTATGGGAAATCGCAATTTTTAAATGCTGGCAATTAATTCAAAAAAATGTTTTCAATTTTTAAATGCTGGCAATTAATTCAAAAAGGTGTTCTCAATTTTTAAACGCTGGCAATTAGTTCAAAAAAATGTTTTCAAAGCTATATAGGTCAACATTGTGCAAATACAGGCCATCAGTTTGCAACTCCTGTTTCAGCATAGGTAATGAATGGAGAAGTCAGTGAATAATTTTAAGCAGAAGAGTAACACAATTACACTTGTATACAGAAAGGCTGCTCTGGAAATAGGTAAGAGAAACTGGAGATGGGCTGACCTATTAGGAAATTGTTTCAAGTGCTCAGAAGATTAAAGATGCTTGGGGGAAAGTAGGTATCTAGATATATGATGCCTAACTGGATTTGGGAAAAGGAAAGACATGAATTCATTGGGGTATAGATCTGAGAGGTTGTTCATTCAAATTTACTCTTGGGATTGCTTTGTTCAACTACTTTCACCTGCCCTGACATAAATAAATAACTGTGAGGAATCATACTAGTGAACACTCACCTTCAAAGCACTTAAACTGCTAAGAAGAAATGAGGGCCTGTTTATATGTCTTTTACCCTGGTGCCTTAAAACTGCTAAGAAGAAATGAGGGCCTGTTTATATGTCTTT